AGTATACACAGTACACACGCAGTACACACACACAGTACACACACACACAGTACACACACACACAGTACACACACACAGTACACACACAGTATACACAGTACACACAGTATATACACAGTACACACACACAACAGTACACACACACAACAGTACACACACAGTACACACACACAGTACACACACAGTACACACTACACACACAGTACACACACAGTACACACACAGTACACACTACACAGTACACACACACAGTACACACACACAGTACACACACACAGTACACACACAGTACACACACAGTACACACACAGTACACACACACAGTACACACAGTACACACTACACACAGTACACACACACAGTACACACACAGTACACACACAGTACACACACACAGTACACACACAGTACACACACAGTACACACACACAGTACACACACACAGTACACACAGTACACACACACAGTACACAGCAGTACACACACAGTACACACACAGTACACACATAGTATACACAGTACACACAGTACACAGTACACACAGTACACACACAGTACACACACACAGTACATACACATAGTACACACACAGTACACACACACAGTACATACACACAGTACACACACATAGTACACACACACAGTACACACACACAGTACACAGTACTCAGTGTACACACACACAGTACACAGTATACACACAGTACACACACAGTACACTCAGCAGTACACACAGTACACACACAGTACACAGTATACACACAGTACACACACACAGTACACACACACAGTACACACACAGTACACACACAGTATACACAGTACACATACAGTATACACAGTACACAGAACACACACAGTACACACAGTGTCTCTCTGTCTGACTGTGTGTCTCACTGTGTGTGTCTCTGTCTGACTGTGTGTCTCACTGTGTGTCTCTCTGTCTGACTGTGTGTCTCACTGTGTGTCTCTCTGTCTGACTGTGTGTCTCTCTGTGTGTCTCTCTGTCTGACTGTGTGTCTCTCTGTGTGTCTCTCTGTCTGACTGTGTGTCTCACTGTGTGTGTCTCTGTCTGACTGTGTGTCTCACTGTGTGTCTCTCTGTCTGACTGTGTGTCTCACTGTGTGTCTCTCTGTCTGACTGTGTGTCTCTCTGTGTGTCTCTCTGTCTGACTGTGTGTCTCACTGTGTGTGTGTGTCTCTCTGTGTGTGTGTGTCTCTCTCTCTGTCTGTGTGTGTGTCTCTGTGTGTCTCTCTGTCTGTGTGTGTGTGTCTCTCTCTGTATCACTGTGTGTCTCTCTGTCTGTGTGTGTGTCTTTCTCTGTGTGTGTGTCTTTCTCTGTCTGTGTGTGTGTCTCTCTGTCTGTGTGTGTCTCTCTCTGTATCACTGTGTGTCTCTCTGTCTGTGTGTGTGTCTCTCTGTGTCTCACTGTGTGTGTGTCTGTCTGTGTGTGTGTCTCTCTGTGTCTCACTGTGTGTGTGTCTGTCTGTGTGTGTGTGTCTTTCTCTGTCTCACTGTGTCTCTTTGTGTCTCTTTGTGTGTGTCTCTGTGTGTCTCACTGCCTGTGTGTCTCTCTGTGTCTCTCTGTCTCTGTCTGTGTGTGTGTGTCTCTCTGTCTAGCTGTGTGTCTCAATGTGTGTCTTTCTGTCTGTGTGTGTGACTCTCTCTGTCTCACTGTGTGCATGTCTGTGTCTGTCTGTGTGTGTGTCTCTCTCTGTCTCACTGTGTGTGTCTGTGTCTGTCTGTGTGTGTGTCTCTCTATGTGTCTCACTGTGGTTGTCTTTCTCTGTCTTACTGTGTGTCTCTTTGTGTGTGTCTCTGTCTGTGTGTCTCACTGCGTGTGTCTCTCTGTCTCTGTCTGTGTGTCTCACTGCCTGTGTGTGGATCTCTGTGTCTCACTGCGTGTGTGTGTCTCTGTGTCTCTCTGTGTCACTGTGTGTCTCTTTGTGTGTCTCTCTGTGTCTCACTGTGTGTGTGTCTCTCTGTGTCTCACTGTGTGTGTGTCTCTCTGTGTCTTACTGTGTGTCTCTGTCTCTGTGTCTCACTGTGTGTGTGTGTGTCTCTCTGTGTCTCACTGTGTGTCTCTGTGTCTCACTGTGTGTCTCTGTGTCTCACTGTGTGTCTCACTGTGTGTGTGTGTGTGTCTCTCTGTGTCTCACTGTGTGTCTCTGTCTCTGTGTCTCACTGTGTGTGTGTGTCTCTGTGTCTCACTGTGTGTGTGTGTCTCACTGTGTGTCTGTGTGTCTCACTGTGTGTCTGTGTGTCTCACTGAGTGTGTATGTCTCACTGTGTGTGTCTCTGTGTCTCACTGTGTGTCTGTGTGTCTCACTGTGTGTCTGTGTGTCTCACTGTGTGTGTCTGTGTCTCACTGTGTGTCTCACTGTGTGTCTCACTGTGTGTGTGTGTCTCACTGTGTCTGTGTGTCTCACTGTGTGTCTCTGTGTCTCACTGTGTCTCACTGTGTGTCTCTGTGTCTCTCTGTGTCTCACTGTGTGTCTGTGTGTCTGTGTGTCTCACTGTGTGTCTGTGTGTCTGTGTGTCTCACTGTGTGTCTGTGTGTCTCACTGTGTGTCTCTGTGTCTCACTGAGTGTGTATGTCTCTCTGTGTCTCACTGTGTGTCTGTGTGTCTCACTGTGTGTCACTGTGTGTCTCTGTGTGTCTCTGTGTCTCACTGTGTGTCTCTGTGTCTCACTGTGTGTCTCACTGTGTGTGTGTGTCTCTCTGTGTCTCACTGTGTGTCTCTGTCTCTGTGTCTCACTGTGTGTGTGTGTCTCTGTGTCTCACTGTGTGTGTGTGTCTCACTGTGTGTCTGTGTGTCTCACTGAGTGTGTATGTCTCTCTGTGTCTCACTGTGTGTGTCTCTGTGTCTCACTGTGTGTCTGTGTGTCTCACTGTGTGTCTGTGTGTCTCACTGTGTGTGTCTGTGTCTCACTGTGTGTCTCACTGTGTGTGTGTGTCTCACTGTGTCTGTGTGTCTCACTGTGTGTCTCTGTGTCTCACTGTGTCTCACTGTGTGTCTCTGTGTCTCTCTGTGTCTCACTGTGTGTCTGTGTGTCTGTGTGTCTCACTGTGTGTCTGTGTGTCTGTGTGTCTCACTGTGTGTCTGTGTGTCTCACTGTGTGTCTCTGTGTCTCACTGAGTGTGTATGTCTCTCTGTGTCTCACTGTGTGTCTGTGTGTCTCACTGTGTGTCACTGTGTGTCTCTGTGTCTCACTGTGTGTCTCTGTGTCTCACTGTGTGTCTCTGTGTCTCACTGTGTGTGTGTGTCTCTGTGTCTCACTGTGTGTCTCACTGTGTGTCTGTGTGTCTCACTGTGTGTGTGTCTCACTGTGTGTCTCACTGTGTGTCTCTGTGTCTCTGTGTCTCACTGTGTGTCTCTGTGTCTCACTGTGTGTCTCACTGTGTGTCTCTGTGTCTCACTGTGTGTCTCTGTGTCTCTGTGTCTCACTGTGTGTCTCTGTGTCTCACTGTGTGTCTCTGTGTCTCTGTGTCTCACTGTGTGTCTGTGTGTCTCACTGTGTGTCTCTGTGTCTCTGTGTCTCACTGTGTGTCTGTGTGTCTCTGTGTCTCACTGTGTGTCTCTGTGTCTCACTGTGTGTCTCACTGTGTGTCTCTGTGTCTCACTGTGTGTCTCTGTGTCTCACTGTGTCTCACTGTGTGTCTCACTGTGTGTCTCACTGTGTGTCTGTGTGTCTCTGTGTCTCACTGTGTGTCTGTGTGTCTCACTGTGTGTTTGTGTGTCTGTGTGTCTCACTGTGTGTGTGTCTCACTGTGTGTCTCACTGTGTGTGTCTCTGTGTCTCACTGTGTGTCTCTGTGTCTCACTGTGTGTCTGTGTGTCTCACTGTGTGTCTCTGTCTCTGTGTCTCACTGTGTGTCTCACTGTGTGTCTCTGTGTCTCACTGTGTGTCTCTGTGTCTCACTGTGTGTCTCACTGTGTGTCTCTGTGTCTCACTGTGTGTCTCACTGTGTGTCTTTGTGTCTCACTGTGTGTCTCTGTGTCTCACTGTGTGTCTCACTGTGTGTCTCTGTGTCTCACTGTGTGTCTCACTGTGTCTCTGTGTCTCACTGTGTGTCTCACTGTGTGTCTCACTGTGTGTCTCACTGTGTGTCTCTGTGTCTCACTGTGTCTCACTGTGTGTCTCTGTGTCTCACTGTGTGTCTCTGTGTGTCTCTGTGTCTCACTGTGTGTCTGTGTGTCTCACTGTGTGTCTCACTGTGTGTCTCTGTGTCTCACTGTGTCTCACTGTGTGTGTGTGTCTCTGTGTCTCACTGTGTCTCACTGTGTGTCTGTGTGTCTCACAGGGGCTCCGGTTAGACACCCGCTCCCCTTCTCGGCGCGGAATCTTTACTACGACGAGCGGTGGTTGGAGAAGCAACAGCTGGGGTTCACAGCCTTGCTCAATCACCTCCTGGCTCCTCATGGACTCGAGTCAGACACAGCCAGGCAGCCAGGTGGCACATTCAATCACTCACTCAGTCAGTCAGTCACTCACTCAGTCACTCAGTCACTCACTCACCCACTCAGTCACCCACTCAGCTGGGGTTCACAGCCTTGCTCAATCACCTCCTGGCTCCTCACGGACTCGAGTCAGACACAGCCAGGCAGCCAGGTGGCACATTCAATCACTCACTCAGTCAGTCAGTCACTCACTCAGTCACTCACTCACTCACTCAGTCACCCACTCAGTCACTCACCCACTCACTCAGTCAGTCACCCACTCAGCTGGGGTTCACAGCCTTGCTCAATCACCTCCTGGCTCCTCACGGACTCGAGTCAGACACAGCCAGGCAGCCAGGTGGCACATTCACTCACTCAGTCACTCAGTCAGTCACTCAGTCAGTCACTCACTCAGTCACTCACTCAGTCACTCACTCACTCAGTCACTCACTCAGTCAGTCAGTCACTCACTCAGTCACTCACTCAGTCACTCACTCAGTCACTCACTCACTCAGTCACTCACTCAGTCACTCACTCAGTCACTCACCCACTCACTCAGTCAGTCAGTCACTCAGTCAGTCACTCAGTCACTCACTCAGTCAGTCACCCACTCAGCTGGGGTTCACAGCCTTGCTCAATCACCTCCTGGCTCCTCATGGACTCGAGTCAGACACAGCCAGGCAGCCAGGTGGCACATTCACTCAGTCAGTCAGTCACTCACTCAGTCACTCAGTCACTCAGTCACTCACTCAGTCAGTCACTCAGCTGGGGTTCACAGCCTTGCTCAATCACCTCCTGGCTCCTCACGGACTCGAGTCAGACACAGCCAGGCAGCCAGGTGGCACATTCACTCACTCAGTCACTCAGTCACTCACTCAGTCACTCACTCACTCACTCAGTCACTCACTCAGTCACTCACTCAGTCACCCACTCAGCTGGGGTTCACAGCCTTGCTCAATCACCTCCTGGCTCCTCACGGACTCGAGTCAGACACAGCCAGGCAGCCAGGTGGCACATTCACTCACTCAGTCACTCACTCAGTCACTCACTCAGTCACTCACTCAGTCACTCAGTCACTCACTCACCCACTCACTAACTCACTTACCCACTCACCCACTCACCCACTCACTCACTCACTCAGTCACTCACTCAGTCACTCACCCACTCACTCACCCACTCACTCAGTCACTAAGTCAGTCACTCACTCAGTCACTCACTCAGTCAGTCACTCAGTCAGTCACTCAGTCAGTTACTCACTCAGTCAGTCACTCACTCAGTCACTCACTCAGTCAGTCACTCAGTCAGTCACTCAGTCACTCAGTCAGTCACTCAGTCACTCAGTCAGTCACTCAGTCAGTCACTCAGTCACTCAGTCACTCACTCACTCAGTCACTCACTCACTCAGTCACTCAGTCACTCACTCAGTCAGTCAGTCACTCACTCAGTCAGTCACTCAGTCAGTCAGTCAGTCACTCACTCAGTCAGTCACTCACTCACTCAGTCACTCACTCACTCACTCAGTCAGTCAGTCACTCACTCAGTCACTCACTCAGTCAGTCAGTCACTCAGTCACTCACTCACCCACTCAGTCACCCACTCAGCTGGGGTTCACAGCCTTGCTCAATCACCTCCTGGCTCCTCACGGACTCGAGTCAGACACAGCCAGGCAGCCAGGTGGCACATTCACTCAGTCACTCACTCACTCAGTCACTCAGTCAGTCACTCAGTCAGTCACTCAGTCAGTCACTCAGTCAGTCAGTCAGTCACTCAGTCAGTCAGTCAGTCACTCAGTCACTCACTCAGTCACTCACTCAGTCACCCAGTCAGTCACTCAGTCAGTCAGTCAGTCACTCAGTCACTCAGTCACTCACTCACCCACTCAGTCAGTCAGTCACTCAGTCACTCAGTCACTCACTCAGTCACCCACTCAGTCAGTCAGTCACTCAGTCACTCAGTCACTCACTCAGTCACTCACTCAGTCAGTCACTCACTCAGTCACTCACTCACTCAGTCACTCACTCAGTCAGTCACCCACTCAGCTGGGGTTCACAGCCTTGCTCAATCACCTCCTGGCTCCTCACGGACTCGAGTCAGACACAGCCAGGCAGCCAGGTGGCACATTCACTCACTCAGTCAGTCACTCACTCAGTCACCCAATCAGTCAGTCAGTCACTCACTCACTCAGTCACTCAGTCACTCACTCAGTCACTCAGTCACTCACTCACTCAGTCACTCACTCACTCAGTCAGTCACTCACTCAGTCACTCAGTCACTCACTCAGTCACTCACTCACCCACTCACTCAGTCGCTCACTCAGTCAGTCACTCACTCAGTCACCCAATCAGTCAGTCAGTCACTCACTCACTCAGTCACTCAGTCACTCACTCAGTCACTCAGTCACTCACTCACTCAGTCACTCACTCACTCAGTCAGTCACTCACTCAGTCACTCAGTCACTCACTCAGTCACTCACTCACCCACTCACTCAGTCGCTCACTCAGTCACTCACTCAGTCAGTCAGTCACTCACTCAGTCACTCACTCACTCAGTCAGTCAGTCACTCACTCACTCAGTCATTCACTCAGTCACTCACTCATTCACTCACTCAGTCACTCACTCAGTCACCCAATCAGTCAGTCAGTCACTCAGTCACTCACTCACTCAGTCACTCAGTCACTCACTCAGTCACTCACTCACTCACTCAGTCACTCACTCAGTCAGTAACTCACTCAGTCACTCAGTCACTCACTCAGTCACTCACTCACTCACCCACTCACCCACTCACTCACTCACCCACTCACTCACTCACCCACTCACCCACTCACCCACTCACCCACTCAGTCACCCACTCACTCACCCACTCACTCACTCACTCAGTCACCCAATCAGTCAGTCAATCACTCAGTCACCAACTCAGTCACTCACTCACTCACTCACCCACTCAGTCACTCACTCACTCAGTCACCCAATCAGTCAGTCAGTCACTCAGTCACTCACTCAGTCACCAACTCAGTCACCCACTCACTCACCCACTCACTCACCCACTCAGTCACTCACTCACTCACTCAGTCACCCAATCAGTCAGTCAGTCACTCAGTCACCCAATCAGTCAGTCAGTCACTCAGTCACTCACTCAGTCACCAACTCAGTCACTCACTCAGTCACTCAGTCACTCACCCACCCACTCAGTCACTCACTCAGTCACCCACTCAGTCACTCACTCAGTCACTCCCTTAGTCACCAACTCAGTCACTCACTCAGTCACTCACTCAGTCACCAACTCAGTCACTCACTCAGTCACTCAGTCACCAACTCAGTCACTCACTCAGTCACTCATTCACCAACTCAGTCACTCACCCAGTCACTCACTCAGTCACCAACTCAGTCACTCACCCAGTCACTCACTCAGTCACCAACCCAGTCACTCACCCAGTCACTCACCCACCCACTCACCCACCCACCCAGTCACTCAGTCACTCACTCACCCACCCACCCACCCAACCACCAACTCACCCACCCAACCACCAACTCACCCACCCACTCACCCAGTCACTCACCCACCCACCCACTCACCCACCAACTCACCCACCCAACCACCAACTCACCCACCCACTCACCCAGTCACTCACCCACCCACCCACTCACCCACCAACTCACCCACCCACCTACTCACTCACACACCCACCCACCCACTCACCCACCCACCCACCCAGTCACCCACTCATCCACTCACCCACCCACTCACCCACCCACCCACTCACCCACCAACTCACCCACCCACTCACCCACCCACCCACCCAGTCACCCACTCATCCACTCATCCACTCACCCACCAACTCACCCACCAACCCACTCACCCACTCACCCACCCACCCACCCAACCACCAACTCACCCACCCACTCACCCAGTCACTCACCCACCTACCCACACACCCACCAACTCACCCACCCACCTACTCACTCACACACCCACTCACCCACCCAGTCACCCAGTCACCCACTCATCCACTCACCCACCCACTCACCCACCCACCCACTCACCCACCAACCCACTCACCCACCCACCCTCTCACCCACCCACTCACTCACCCACCAACCCACATACCCACCCACCCACTCACCCACCAACCCACTCACCCACCCACCCACCCACTCACCCACCAACCCACTCACCCACCCACTCACTCACTCACCCACCCACTCACCCACCAACCCACTCACCCACCCACCCACTCACCCATCAACCCACTCACCCACCCACCCACTCACCCACCCACCCACTCACCCACCCACCCACCCACCAACCCACTCACCCACCCACCCACTCACCCACCCACCCACCCACCCACCAACCCACTCACCCACCAACTCACCCACCCACCCACTCACCCACTCACCCACCAACCCACTCACCCACCCACCCACCCACCCACTCACCCACCAACCCACTCACCCACCCACCCACTCACCCACCAACCCACTCACCCACCCACCCACTCACCCACCCACCCACTCACCCACCCACCCACTCACTCACCCACACACTCACCGACCCACTCACCCACCTACCCACTCACCCACCTACCCACCAACCCACCCACTCACTCACCCACCCACTCACCCACTCACCCACCCACCAACCCACCCACCCACCCACTCACCCACCCACCCACTCACCCACCAACCCACCCACTCACCCACCCACTCATCCACCCACTCACCCACCCACTCACCCACCCACTCACCCACCCACTCACCCACCCACTCACCCACCCACTCACCCACCCACTCACCCACCCACCAACCCACCCACCAACCCACTCACCCACCCACCCAGGTATCACAGCATCCCACCCACCCTCACCGTGTCTCTCTCCCCCCTCCCCCCTCTCCTAGCAGCGGTGGACCTAACCCTGGTGGTGCCGGGCGGAACCGCCACCACCAACAACAACCACAACAACAACCACAGCAACAACCACAACAACAACCACAACAACCACAACACCGCAACAATCGGCAAACCCAGCTGCGGTGTTGGAGGTGGTGGTGTTGGAGGTGGTGGTGCAGGTGGTGGCGTTGGTGGTGGTGGTGTTGGTGGTGGAGGTGGTGGTGGAGGTGGTGGTGGTGTTGTTGGTGGTGGTGGTGGTGTTGGTGTTATTGGTGGTGGTGGTGGTGGTGTTGTTGGTGGTGGTGTTGTTGGTGTTGGTGGTGTTGTTGGTGGCGGTGTTGGTGGTGGTGTTATTGGTGTTGGTGGTGGTGGTGTTGTTGGTGTTGTTGGTGTTGGTGGTGTTGGTGTTGTTGGTGTTGTTGGTGGTGGTGGTTGTGGTGGCGGTGGTGTTGGTGGTGTTGTTGGTGGCGGTGGTGTTGGTGGTGGTGTTGTTGGTGGTGTTGGTGGTGTTGGTGTTGTTGGTGGTGGTGTTGTTGGTGTTGGTGGTGTTGTTGGTGTTGTTGGTGGTGGTGTTGTTGGTGGTGTTGTTGGTGGTGGTGGTGGCGTTGCTTTGCCGATGTCTCTCCGCCGTGCGGCCCTGCGACTCTTCTGCCGGCGGGGGTTCTCACAATCCGTCGCCCGGCTCGAGGCCGACATCGAGAGCGGCAGGATTGCGGTGCGGAGAGACCACGACATGTGGAGAGACATCGGTGAGTCGTGCTGGGGGTGGTGGTGGTGTGGTGGTGGTGGTGTGGTGGTGGGGGTAAGGTGGTGGTAGTGGTAGTAGTAAGGTGGTGGTGGTAGTGGTGGTAGTAAGGTGGTGGTAGTGGTAGTGGTGGTGTAGTGGTAATGTAGTGGTAGTGGTAAGGTGGTGGTGGTGGTAATGTGGTGGTAGTGGTAATGTGGTGGTAGTGGTAAGGTGGTGGTGGTGGGGGTAAGGTGGTGGTGGTGGTGTGGTGGTGGTGGTGTGGTGGTAAGGTGGTGGTGGTAATGTGGTGGTAGTGGTAATGTAGTGGTGGTGGTAAGGTGGTGGTGGTGGTAAGGTGGTGGTGGTGGTAAGGTGGTGGTGGTGGTAAGGTGGTGGTGGTGGTGGTAGTGGTAATGTGGTGGTGGTAGTAGTAAGGTGGTAGTGGTAGTAGTAAGGTGGTAGGGGTTGTGGTGGTGTAGTGGTAGTGTAGTTGTGGTGGTGGTGTAGTGGTGGTGTAGTGGTAGTGGTGGTAACGTGGTGGTAGGGGTACGGTGGTGGTAGTGGTTGTGTAGTTGTGGTAAGGTGGTGGTAGTGGTGGTGGTGGTGTAGTGGTAGTGATGGTGGTAAGGTGGTGGTAGGGGTTGTGTAGTTGTGGTGGTTGTGGTAAGGTGGTGGTGGGGGTAAGGTGGTGGTAGTGCTGGTGTAGTGGTAATGTGGTGGTAAGGTGGTTGTAGTGGTTGTGTAGTTGTGGTGGTGGTGGTGTGGTAAGGTGGTGTAGTGGTGATGTGGTGATGTGGTGGTAGGGGTGTTGTAGTGTAGTTGTGGTGGTGGTGTGGTGATAAGGTGGTGTAGTGGTGTAGTGGTAGTCGTGGTGGTAAGGTGGTGGTAGTGGTTGTGGTGGTGGTAGTGGTAGTGGTAAGGTGGTAGGGGTTGTGGTGGTGTAGTGGTAGTGGTGGTGTAGTGGTAATGTGGTGGTCGTGGTAGTGGTGGTAAGGTGGTAGTGTAGTTGTGGTGGTAGTGGTGGTGGTTGTGGTGGTGTAGTGGTAGTGGTGGTGTTGTGGTAAGGTGGTAGTGTAGTGGTGGTAAGGTGGTAGTGTAGTTGTGGTGGTGTAGTGGTAGTGGTGTAGTTGTGGTGGTGGTGTGGTGGTGGTGGTAAAGTGGTGGTAGGGGTTGTGGTGGTGTAGTGGTAGTGTGGTGGTGGTGTGGTGGTAAGGTGTATATAAATATGTGTGTATCTATGTATGTATATATCTCTGTATATAAATCTGTGTGTATCTCTGTATGTATATATCTCTGTATATAAATCTGTGTGTATCTCTGTATGTATATATCTCTGTATATAAATCTGTGTGTATCTCTGTATGTATATATCTCTGTATATAAATCTGTGTGTATCTATGTATGTATATATCTCTATATATAAATCTGTGTGTATCTCTGTATGTATATTTCTCTGTATATAAATCTGTGTGTATCTATATGTATGTATATATCTGTATATAAATCTCTCTGTGTATGTATATATCTCTGTATATAAATCTCTCTGTGTGTATCTCTATATATATCTCTGTATATAAATCTCTCTGTGTGTATCTCTGTATATATCTCTATATACATCTCTCTGTGTGTATCTATATATGTATATATCTCTGTATATAAATCCCTCTCTGTGTGTATCTCTATATATCTCTGTATATACATCTCTCTGTGTGTATCTCTGTATATATCTGTATATAAATCTCTCTGTGTGTGTATCTCCGCGTCTCTATCTCCCCAGGGGAACGGAGGAAGATCGTTCAATGGCTGCTCAGCTACAACTCGCTGTGGCTTCGCATCGGCCTGGAGGTACCCACTCTGTCACTCGCACCGTTGCCGTGACGACCACCGTCACCACCACCACTATCACCGTCACCACCACCATCATCATCACTATCACCACCACCACCATCACTATCACCACCACCACTATCACCGCCACCACTATCACCGCCACCACTATCACCGCCATCATCATCACTATCACCGTCATCACCACCACCACTATCACCACCACCACCACTATCACCACCACCACTATCACCACCACCACTATCACCACCACCACTATCACCACCATCATCATCACTATCACCACCACCACTATCACCGCCATCATCATCACTATCACCGTCATCACCACCACCACTATCACCACCACCACCACTATCACCACCACCACTATCACCACCACCACTATCACCACCACCACTATCACCACCATCATCATCACTATCACCACCACCACTATCACCGCTATCATCATCACTATCACCGTCGCCACCACCACCACCGTCATCACCACCACCGTCACCACCACCATCGCCATCATCACCACCGTCATCACCACCACCATCACCACCACCGTCACCACCACCATCGCCATCATCACCACCGTCATCACCGCC